CTGCCGGCCAGGGGTCACCCGCAGCTGGACGATTTTGTGGGCGCTCACCCTGACTACAACGAGGAGGAGGAGGAGCAGAAGTACTTCCGTCGCAAGCGCCTCGGCGTGGTCAAGAACGTGCTGGCCGCCAGCCTGGCCGGCACGCTCACCTACGGCGTCTACCTGGGTATGGCCCTGCCCCTCCCCGGGGAAACCCCCCACCGCGGTTTGGGGGGTATGGGGGGCGTGGGGTGACGGCCGCTGGACCCCCCGCTCCCACCCCCCAGGCCTCCTGCAGATGCAGCTGATCCTGCACTACGACGAGACCTACCGGGAGGTGAAGTACAGCAACATACAGCTGGAGGACATCGACCGCAAGGTGCTGATGGGCATCAACGTCACCCCCGTCGCGGCGCTGCTCTACACGCCCGTCCTCATCAGGTACGGCGCCGCCCGCGCTCCCCGCCGGCACGCCGGCACGGGTGCCCACGCTTCCCCCTCCTCGGCCCGGCAGGTTTTTCGGCACCAAGTGGGCCATGTTCCTGGCGGTGGGGATCTATGCCCTCTTCGTCTCCAGCAACTACTGGGAGCGCTACTACACGCTGGTGCCCTCTGCCGTGGCCATCGGGGTGGCCATCGTGCCCCTCTGGGCCTCCATGGGCAACTACATCACGCGGTAGGCGGCGGTGGGGAGAAACGGGGGGGGGGAGGGCGCCGGGGGGCACCAGCTGACCTGCCGTGCCACGCAGGATGGCCCAGAAGTACTACGAGTACGTCAACTACAAGGAGGAGCATGTGCAGGAGCAGCAGCGGGCGCCGCGAGGCGCCTGCAACGCCTACGTCATCGTCTTCCAGACCATCTTCTACGCCTGCTTCCACGTGAGCACCGGCGGGGCGTGCGGCACGGGCAGGGGGCCGTGCCGGGCAGCCCGGCACTGAGCTCCCCCTCCTATACGTCTTGCAGCTGAGCTTCGTCTGCGCCCAGATGCCCATGCTCTTCTTCCTCAACAACTACCTCTACCAGCTCAACCACACGCTCTTCGGGGTCAAGCACTGCGGTGAGCGCGCGGGCGCGGACGGCACGGTGGCGTGGGATGGCACGGTGGCACGGGGACCTCCCCCATTGGGGCTGAGCCGCGGCGTGTGTCCCGCCCGGCAGGGACCCTGAGCCACGGCATGCTGGCCGGCTTCAACAAGACAGTGCTGCAGAGCCTGCCCCGCAGCGTCAACCTCATCATCGTGGAGAGCGCCCTGATGGCGGCCGCCTTCCTCGCCATGCTGGTGGTGAGTGCCGGGGCGGGCAGGGGACGGGGCTGGGACCCTGGCAGTGCCTCACACGTGACCGCGCGGCAGGTCCTGGTGCTCTGCGGCTCGGCGTATCGGCCCACGGAGGAGATCGACCTGCGCAGCATCGGCTGGGGGAACATCTTCCAGCTGCCCTTCAAGCACATGCGGGACTACCGCCTGCGCCACCTCTTCCCCTTGTTCATCTATAGCGGCTTCGAGGTGCTCTTCGTCTGCACCGGCTTCTCCCTGGTAGGGCGCGGGGAGGGGGCGGGGGGGTGACAGAGCGGGGACAGCCCCGGCCGGGCGACACTGAGCCTCTCCTCGCTGCAGAACTACGGCGTGTGTGCCCTGGGGCTGGAGAAGCTGGCGTACCTCCTCATGGCCTACGGCTTCTCCGCCTCGGCCTGCTCCAGCCTGGCCCTCTGCATGCTGCGCCTGCGGCGGCAGATCCCGCTGCTGGCCGGAGCCCTCATCCACACCGCCCTCCTGGTGACTCTCTTCTGCTGGGCACCCGAGCCCCGGCACCTAGTCCAGGCGCCTCTGCTCTACACCATAGCCGTGCTCTGGGGCATGGGGAGCACCCTCAACAAGACCGGCATTAGCAGTGAGTACCGGGAAGGTCCCCAACGCAGCCTCTCTTGTCCCCTGGCATGGCCAGGTTGTCCCCAGCTCCCCGACACCTCCTCTCCTTCCTTGTGTCCCCTGGCACCGCAACCTGGTAGTCCCCAACTCCTTGGACCCACAGACAAGGAGCAGGACAGACCCACCGCGGCTGGGTCCTGCTAACAGTGCCCCGAGAGGGGACGCCGGCACTGAAGGGGGATGCTGACAGCCGGTCCCCTCTGGCGCAGTCCTCCTGGGCATGCTGTACGAGGATAAGGAGCGCCAAGACTTCGTCTTCACCATCTACCACTGGTGGCAGGCCCTGGCGATCTTCACCATCTACTTGTGGTCGGGGCTGCCCATGAAGGTAAGCCCCCTCTGGCGCAGTCCTCCTGGGCATGCTGTACGAGGATAAGGAGCGCCAAGACTTCGTCTTCACCATCTACCACTGGTGGCAGGCCCTGGCGAGCTTCACCGTCTACTTGTGGTCGGGGCTGCCCATGAAGGTAAGCGTGGCCGGGTGGGCAGCCATCCCCGCAGTGCCCCCCCCCCCAG